CACGCCAAACAACAACTCAATTTTGTTAATCTTATGAAAGAAATGACGGTGGTTGTAATGGTGGTGATAATTCTTTTGATGGTCAAGTAGTTGGCGGCCTTCTGGCACTACCAACTTACCGTGAGCACGGCCGCCTCCACTACCACCATCCATGATTTCCAAGGAATATCAACTTTGCCTGCCCATGAATCCTTTTATTTGCCTTAATATGAAACTAAGACTTGTCATTCTATGTTAATCAATACTACTAGTAGTTGTAGTAACTAATAGTAGGGAACGTTTCGGTACATAGCCCTTTTAACGTATGCACCCCCATTTAACAGCCATTGAATGCATTTAAGGCAGCAGCACAATTCACAAATGGAATGACGTGTCTATATTAATTAATAGCGTCTTGAAACTGACCAAGAAATTAAAATTTTAAACACAAAAATTTGGGAATAAAATTATTTTTTAGAAATAAAATATTTTTATTGCTAAAAGTGTTATTGTTTTATTTTTACCGACAAAATTAGACATTTAATAATGAATTACAAAACTTTTGGGACCAAAAATTTTGTCTCGAAAAATAAAACTTTTTAGAACCAAGTTATTTTGTCCTTAAAACTGCATTTATTAGTGACGTTTCTAAAATTTGCCTTTAAAAGCTTCATTTTTTACTTTTTTAGACAGCTTTTTAGTGACTGCCCCTCTCGACGACTAAAATTAGTTACTAAATATTTTTGGCAACAGAATTTATATATTTAGAGACAAAAAAATTTGGTATTTAAAACTCTTATATGTTGTAATGTATGTTATTTTAAATCATTTGATTTTTTTCTTATCAAGGAAAGTCAGTGATTAGTTGTTAAGTTAATACATTTAGAAAGATGAAACTTACATCCACATAGCTTGTAAAAAAAATCTTACCCTTCGATTATACTCTTCAGAACGAACCTAACACCTCTTAGTCAAGCGAGACTTGATGGCCAACCAACAAACCAATTAAGTTAGAGTCCTTTGATTATTTTAAATTGTTTGATTTGAATAAAATGCCCAACTTGTCTTATTTTAGAGCATTTGCACGTGGCTTGATTTAATTAAAGTGGACAACAAATTATGTTTTATTGACTTTCATCTTATCTTAAACTATTTAATTTGAATAAGTGGTTATTTTAAGCCACCTCGTTTGAATAAAATGGTGAAAGTCATTTTAAAAGGTTGATTTGATTAAACTAGTCAAAAGATTATTTCAAACGACTTGATTGAATTAAAATGATCAACAACACAATAATAATTTGCACAAGGAGAAGGGAATAATATGATGAGATTCATACTAAAACAGATCAAATCAAACTAATGGAACACAATAACAAAGGTGAAGAAGAGGTGCAAACAATCTATACTTGTAAACAGTTATTATAATAGTTAGTTAGTTAATGAGTTGGTTAGACAAATAGATATAGTTTAGATATATGGCACTCGTGTGTATATAAGAGGTATGGATGTATGTTCAAAATGAACGAAATGAAGATAATATTCAGTTTCTTTTCTTCTTTATGGTATCAGAGCTAGTTGCTCCAACGAGCACATCATCCACGGAGTTATCTTCATCTCTACCTTCAAATCTTATGCTTCTTATCTCTAACTTGAACTCATTTGTTACAGTCAAGTTAGATACTACAAATTTCATTGTATGGAAAAATCAATTTCAGAATATGCTCAGAGCCACAAATCTTCTGAGCTATGTTGATGGATCTATTGTTTCTCCATCTGCAATTGTTCTTGATTCATCTGGAAAAACTGCGGCTAATCCAAAATTCTTGCAATGGAAATTGATTGACTCACATCTTCTGAGTTGCATTACTGTAACTTTGACACCTACAGTTTTCACATCTGTTGTTCAATGTGTCACTTGCAATGGAGTTTGGTGTATTATTTCTAGAAGATTTACTTCTCTCTAGGTCTCATATTCACCAACTAAAGAATAAACTTACCAGTCTCTCGAAGAAATCTTCATCGATGGAGTAATATTTGCTTCAGATCAAAACTATTTCTGATCAATTATCTCTCTCTAGATCTCCAATTGATGAAGAAGATCTGGCTCTTATCACCTTGAATAGACTTCCTGCAGAATTTAATGCACTTAAGACCACAGTTCGTGCAAGAATTGAACCTATCACCATGGAAGAACTCTCTTCTTTACTCTGTTCTGAGGCTCTGCATGTTGATTCAGATACTAAGTCTTCAAGTTCTGATCTAACTATTGCTTACTCCATCACAAAAGATCACAACAATCAGTCTAGGTTTCAAAACCAGTCATCTTCTCACTATCGAGGGAATCAAAATCAGTTTCGTATAGGAAATAATTCTTCAAGAGGAGGTCAATTTCACAGTAATCGTTCAGGCCGAATTTCTAATTCTGGTAAACAATCTTCATCTTCTTCCTTCTCTAGTTCTGGTGGTTCTAGTTTCGCTTTCTATTGTCAAATTTGTGGCAAGACAAACCATACAGCTCTTGGTTATTGGTTTCGAATGGATTCTTCTTACAATTCTCTGCCAAATTCCAACTCTCAGTCCAATTCTCCATCTCCTACTGCGTATATGGCTTCTTCATCTATTTCTCCTCCTGCAAATTGATCTGTTGACTCTACTGCCACCACTTATGTTACCAATGATCTCTCTAATTTTCAGCAGTATCATCCGTATCATGGATCTGATCATGTAACTGTGGGTAATGGTTCTATTGTTCCTATTATGCATACAGGCCAAGGTATTCTTCCTACTCCTTCCTTTCATTTCCTTTCAAACTTCGTAATATGCTTCATGCTCCATCTATCTCTTCTAATCTTTTATTAGT